AACACAGACGAGGCTGCATTCTCTTTACTCCTGCCTTCTTCCAAAAAACAAACATTTTTATCTTATTGCTTTTTTGTTTAATTACAGACTTAGAAAGAAAACTTTTTTCATTGTTTTTATTCTTATATTTGACACTAAAAGGTGTGGCATTCTACACAAAATATAATTTGTTCTATTTTTTTGACCACACGTTAAAGAAAGTAAATGCTGACAACATATATGAAAGTCCTGGCTGTGGAACACTGGACCAGCTCTATTCCCTTAGGCAGGTCCTATAGGGTATGTTGGAGTTTGCCCAACCAGTCTACATGTATTTTGTGGATTTGGAGAAGGCGTTCGACCGCACCCCCCAGGAGGCCATGTGAGGGGTACTTTGGGACTATGGGGTACCAGGCCTTCTGATACAGGCTGTTAGGTCCCTGTGACCGGTGTCAGAGCTTGGTCTGCATTGCTGGCAGTAAGTCAGACTCGTCTCCAGTGAGAGTTGGACTCCGTCAAGGCTGCCCTTTGTCACAGATTCTGTTCATAACTTTGTGAACAGGATTTCTAGGCGCAGCCAAGGTGTTGAGGGGATCTGTTTAGGTGGCCTAAGGAGCTGCTTTTTGCAGATGATGTGGTCCTGATGACTTCATCAGAACGAGATTTCCAGCTTTTACTGGAGAAGCAGCTGGGATGAGAATCAGCTCCTCCACATCTGAGACCATGGTCTTGAGTCATAAAAGGGTAGAATGCCTTCTCCATGTCAGGGTTGAGGTCCTGCCTCAAGTGAGGGAGTGTAGATATCTCAGGGTCTTGTTAACGAGTGAGGGAAAGATGGAGCGAGAGATCAATATGTGGATTGGTGCTGCGTCGGCAGTGATGCGGGCGTTGTACAGATCTGTTGTGATGAAGAGAGAGCTGAGCAGGAAGGCAAAGCTCTTTTTACCGATTGATCTACGTTCCTACCCTCACCTATGGCCACGAGCTTTGGGTAGTGACTGAAAGAATGACATCGCGGATACAAGCGGCCGACATGAGTTTTCTCTGCAGGGTGGCTGGATTCTCCCTTAGACATAGGGTGAGAAGCTTGGTCATCCGGGAGGGGCTTGGAGTAGACCTGCTGCTCCTCCACATCAAGAGGTGCCAGTTAAGGTGGCTCGGGCATCTGTTTAGGATAACTCTCTAGTGAGATTTTCCGGGCACTTCCAACCAGGAGGATATTGAAGGGAAAAGCCAGGACATGGTATATGTCTCTTTGCTGGCCAGGAAACACCTTGGAAATTCCCTGGAGGAGCTGCCCTAAGTGGCTGGACAGAGTGAAGTCTGAGCCTCTGCTTAGGCTGCATTACCTAAGACCCAACCCTGGAAAAGCGGATGGATGGCGGGATGTACTGTATATACTCAACAAAAATACACCTTTGTTTCTGCTCCGATTTTTCATGAGATGGACTTAAAGATCTAAAATTCATTCCAGATACACAATACTGTCATTTCTCTCAAACATTGTCCACAAATCAGTCTTATTGTGTGATAATGAGCACTTCTGCTTTGCTGAGATAATCCATCCCACCTCACAGGTGTGTGTGTGTGTGTGTGTGTGTGTGTGTGTGTGTGTGTGTGTGTGTGTGTGTGTGTGTGTGTGTGTGTGTGAGAGAGAGAGAGAGAGAGATATTGGACAAATAAAAAAATGCACATTTGCTTATTATGTTTTTTTATTTGTTAGTGAAGGTTTTCAGGAGCTCATTAAAGACCTGCCACTCTGTGCACAAATCGTTTTCTTCCTTCAAGTGTCAAAAATGTCCCTGGGAGCTCTTGAGCACGTGTTATTTAAAAGATTTTCAGGATTTTGCTTTAAAATAAGTGCAGAGATGCCTTAATACCACTAAAACCACTTTGTAAACACTCTGGAATAAAATAATCTCATCACGATCACAATCTTTGATAGTTAATATAACCCGTGATCAACAAAATAGTGTGCTTAATATAGTTAGATAAACATACTGCCTGTCTTTTTGATAAAATCCCTGTAATCCTCCCATGATCACTTGGTGCTTTGTGCTGTGGGCGGTATTGTCACATAGGCAGAGGCTGGGTAAAACAGTAAGGCTTGTAATCCAGTAGGGCTGACTCATCGAGTTATGGATTAGGTAGCTGCATCCTCCAGAGTCGAAACAAAGAGCAGAAAAAAAAGAACAATACTCGTCAGCAGAAATACAGCAGCTGCATTTGGACTTGTTTATCTGTTGGGTCTTAACAAGGATGTTTATTGTGTTTGGGAGACTTAATATTGGCGCAATGAAAGCCAAAAAAGAGAGGAGTGTTTGAAGTTAGTCTATGTGGATGTAAGATTTCTGTGGTTCATCTCTATGCGCCGCTATGAATAAAGAACCCCTCCAGCTTCCATTAGAGAATCTGAAGAGAAATCTTTGGAGTGCATCTTTTGAAACACATAATTATGCCTGTCCCTAAAACAACTCAAATGAGAACGTTGTTATGCAGTGCTTTTGCAAGAGCAGACACCACTTGGGAGCCTAATGATAGATTTAGAGTCAGGAGCAGGTCTGCAGTCTTTCTTTCAGTCAACCATTCACCCATAAAAAAGGATGTGACTGCGTAAAAAAGTCCTGTGCTCTTTCATGAACAGTACTCAGTAAGCATCTTTGGTACGTACTTGCTGTGTACTTCTAATTCCATTTTTGGTTCTTTTTAAAAACACAGAAAAGGTTTCTCTTTACCTTTCTGACAGTTTCATTTGAGGCTGCAAACATCCTCAGCGTCAGCTCTGGGGAGTACTCAGTTAGGGTTTGGTAGGTGGGGTCTGGACATGTTTGTATGTCTAAACATCTGGTATTGTGCAGTAAGGTGCTGGTTACATTTTCAAGGCTGCTTGATTGTGGCAGAAATGGTAAACACCCATTTTTTTGACTGAAATTGAGATTTCAATCATTTAAAGGGATACTTTGCAACTTTTTCATATTTTTAGATCATTTTCTTGAGCCACTATGTGCAAAATTTCTTAAAAGCTATTCAATTTCTGACCATGGAGGTCTGGTATCCCGCAGGTTTTGGTGGTTTCTCTGCTTCAAAACACTAGATTCAGTGGTTGAATCACCTGTGCAGCAGCTCATCAGGCTTTGCAGCAGTCTGTTAATCACCTGCTGAATGAAATCAGGTGTGTTGAAGCAGAGTTAAAACTAAAACGTGCTGGATAGCGGCCCTCGAGGGCCGGAGTTGAATACTCCTGCTTTACGGGGTTAATGAAAGCTGATGCTGATAATCAAGGAGTGCAAACGTTTGCAATATTGCAATAAATTTTTTTTAATTGTATGAGTGTTTTTTTTATTTTCTTTTACTTTTCTTTTGCTTCATTTTTAAAAGTGTACAGCACCTTGGGCTACTACAAAGGTAGTGGAAGGTGCTATAGAAATAAAGAACGATGATGATGTAGATGAATATGAAAATAAACAGACACATATAAACATCTACGCTGTAGTGAACTTCCACAACATCCAGCCATCCATTTTCGGCCGCTTGTCTGGAGTTGGGTCATGAAGGCAGCAACCTACGCAGGGAGGCCCAGACTTCCCTCTCCCCAGACACTTGGGCCAGCTCCTCTGGTGAAATCCTAAGGCGTTCCCTGGCCAGCCTAGAAACATAACCTGCTGCATATGAATTATATAGTCCTTGCTAAGCTGGGAACTCTGTGTGGGAGGTGCGCTTGATTTGCAACTCGGAGCAGCTGAGAGTAAATCGCGAGGGAGGAGGATATAATTTTGTTTTCATAATCGTTCAAAACCCAGATCATAATTGCAATTACAATTAAATTAATCGGGAAGCCCTTGCTGCACCATTCTGCCCCATTTCATAAAAAGAAAAAACATTTATTTGTAAAGCTAGTAGTGGTGGTAATCTGTGGCTACCAGGTCACTGGTTTAAAACCTTCTGGTAACAATTCATCCCAGAACTTCAGTTTCCTCCTCCAGACTAGATTGTCATTTCTGAGTCAACCTGGTTTGAGTGTGAGCATGAATAGTTCCTTGTCTCTTTATGGCTCTGTGGTGGATTAGAAGCTTGTCTAAGGGGTACTGTGTATCACCTAATGACCTCTAGAGTCAGTCACCAGGTCTCCCAGCCCTGAACAGACATGCTGAAATACAACAAAAATAAAATAAAGAACAAAGAAATAAAACCATCCATATCAAGAATGATACCATGTGAGTGTGCCTAGCTGATCATGACTAAAGAGGAAATGGTTGTCGAACTGAAATCCTCTGACACAGAGGCGTGGGCAACACTCTAAACACATGCGGTCTAATTACTGTAATTACCTCCCATATTGTCTCATTAGTTTTAAACCCACTTGAACTGATGATGGAAAGATTTTTGCCATCTTTTATGATCGAAACGAACTCTTCTGGTTTCATGCAGCTGTGAAGAAACACTAGAAACGTGTTTTGTTATGGTTGAGCAAGCTTAAAAACAGAATCTTGTATTGATAGATTCTAAGAACAGCTGATTACCTCCGTCTCATTTTGCACTCGTGATAATTTCTGAGTGCATCTTCCTTTTCTGCTGCTTCTTCTGTGGCCTAAATTATGTAACCCTGTTTCAGTACCCTCTACAATCCTGAAGACATGATGTGACTGATGTGTCAGTTGATGGAAACAGCTCTTAGCATGCAGAATTAAGAGCTCCATACTGATTGGAGATGCGGGCTGTGATTTAGAAGTGTAGCATCAGATCAGACAAATCAGATAAGATGATAAAAACTATATTTTTGTTTACTAGTTCACCTCTTCTGCAAATATTGCATTCTACTTTAGTAACATTTTTGGGATGCATCGATATGAAATTTTAGGACGATGCCGATATCCAGTATTAATATCTCTGTTATGGCCGGTAAACAATATTTGCTGAAACCAATATTTGAAGAGAAAGCTCTTAAATTCACACGCTGCAAGAACGACAGCTGTAACAAGATCAGCATTTTTACAGAACGCACTTTTTGTTTTCTCTTTTAGGCATAGCTGGCAACCCAGTGCTCTTCAACGAGAACGGAGATGCCCCTGGACGCTACGAGATCTACCAGTATCAGATCAAAAACCGAACAGCTGAATATAAAATCATCGGCCACTGGACAGACCAACTCCACCTAAATGTGAGCGCAGAACCTCCTCTTCTTCAGAAATCGCTTGAGTCCAATAAAAAAACCTTCGAGGGATTTTTCAGTCCCTTTTTTCTGCTCCACAGCAGTACATTATTACTCCTCCCAAACCGTTTGATAGCGTTTAGCTCCACGAGTAACAGGGCAGATGGAGATGAGCAGGAAGCCACCAAAGCTTAAGGACAGGCATATTTAATGTCTCCAGATTGCATCTCTGACTTCCAAAAACAATAAGTGGGGAGACACTGTGATAAAACATAAAATAAATGACATCAATATATGAAAACAAATGATGTTGAGCTTTTTTTGTTAGGTTTTTTTCCAAATGAATAGGTGGCCTTGAGCAGGTAAGAATGCAACTGCCCACCAGCTTACGAAGATGTCTTTATTTCTTTTATGTGCACCACTTTTTACGTGTTGTAGAAAGGAGCAGAAAGAGGTTTGGCAGTCGGCACCTGCTGTGCAACTTGCCAGTACTGATTCAGAAGCGGGAAGTATTTAATTAGACTTCTTTGAGGCTTTAATTAGATGCACATTTAAAGAGAAAATCCCCAGCTTTGAACTAACAGTGACAATTGAATAAAACTGATAACAGGAAGGAGGTAGGACTGTTTGAATCCAGGGGTTTGACTCGATTTTGCAGTTGTTAAAAAAAAGCGAACAAGAAAGAATTATGTTAATGTGAACGGAAACTTATTGTTTATACTTCCCAGTGATTTTTTTTCAATCAGTCATTGAGAAATGAAACATGGTGCAACAATCCCATTGCAGAACAAACAGCTTTCTGTTTCTGTCTAGCATTGCCCTTCAGTTGTTAAGCTTCCCTAAAAATGCTGACATGATGCATAATCTGTCCTTTTCTTCTTACCAGCTGAACAAAAGGAAAAAATAAAACCAAGTACACTTTGACCACAGGTCAAACATTACATAACTGTGTAATTGATTCTCTGGACATCAGAAAACTGAGGATGTTTCTTGATCAATACAACCTGACAACCTTCACATGCTTTTATTTTACACAACCGAGCTGACCTTGGACACTACAGCAGAACAAAAACTCAGTTTTTATGTTTGTGTGTCCAACCATGTCTCTCTCATAGGTGCGTTCGATGCAGTGGCCCGGTGGCATCCGTCAGATCCCTTCCTCAATCTGCAGCCAGCCCTGTCAGCCAGGCGAGCGCAAGAAGATAGTGAAGGGCATTCCTTGCTGTTGGCACTGCGAGCGCTGTGATGGCTATCAGTATCAGGCAGACACCTACACGTGTAAGATGTGTCACTTCAATATGCGGCCTAATGACAATCACACAGGCTGCGTTCCAACTCCCATTGTGAAGCTGGAGTGGAGCTCCCCGTGGGCAGTTATCCCTGTGCTTATCGCAGTCCTTGGCATCATGGCCACATTGTTTGTGGTGGTCACGTTCATCCGCTACAACGACACACCAATTGTGAAGGCATCAGGGAGAGAGCTGAGCTACGTGCTGCTAACTGGAATTTTCCTCTGTTACGCCACAACCTTCCTGATGATTTCCTCCCCGGATGTAGGAATCTGTTCGCTTCGAAGGATCTTCTTGGGTCTCGGGATGAGCATTAGTTATGCTGCCCTGCTCACCAAAACCAATCGAATATACCGCATCTTCGAGCAGGGCACCATGTCTTTGAGCGCGCCCAGGTTCATATCTCCTGCCTCCCAGCTCGTCATCACCTTCACCCTGGCCTCGGTGCAGCTACTCGGGGTGTGCATTTGGTTTAGCGTGAACACTTCCAAGGCCGTTATCGACTATGAGGACCAGAGGATGTCCAACCCTGCGATGGCTCGAGGAGTGCTCAAGTGTGACATCTCTGACTTGTCTCTCATCTGTTTGCTGGGCTACAGCATGCTGCTCATGGTCACATGCACGGTTTATGCCATCAAAACAAGGGGGGTGCCGGAGACTTTCAACGAGGCCAAACCCATTGGTTTCACCATGTACACAACCTGCATCATTTGGCTTGCATTTATCCCAATCTTCTTTGGCACTTCACAGTCCACAGATAAGGTAAGTCCACACCGTTTTATTTAAAGAGCAAATTACAGGTTAGAGACTTCTATGAACCAATGTTTAGAGAAACATATTAGAAACTCATTTTAACACATTTTTTTTACAGATACATGAATTATTTAGGCTTTTGGAGTCTTTTTTTGTGAGAAATTCTTCTTCTTTTTTTTTTTTTTTTGCCAAATCAAGTGACATCTGATGAGGGAGTCCTGTTAGCTTAATCCAGAGAAAAATATGGATTCTAATGCCGGCTCTGACACAGAAGAAATTTTAAATGTTTATGATGGACCAAAACCATGAAGTTATGAGTTTTCTGCACGCCCCAGAGAGCAGAGACAAACCAGAGGGAGAAACCATCATCCAAAGCAGAGATATTGTGCTGCAATGTGAGGAGAAATGTTAAATGGTAAATGGTCTGTATTTGATATAGTGCCATGTAGAGTCCTGGAACCCCCCCAAGGCACTTTACAACACAATCAGTCATTCACCCATTCACACACACACTCACACATTGGTGGGGATGAGCTATGATGTAGCCACAGCTGCCCTGGGGCGCACTGACAGAGGTGAGGCTGCCGAGCACTGGCGCCACCGGTCCCTCCGACCACCACCAGCAGGCAAGGTGGGTTAAGTGTCTTGCCTAAGGATACAACGACAGTGACGGACTGAGCGGGGCTCGAACCTGCAACCTTCCAATTACGGGGCGAGCACTTAACTCCTGTTCCACCATCTCCCCAAACAAGTAGGGAAGCAGATTGTTAGTTAACGATGCTAGCTTAAACTTGTGTGCTAACATCACAATATTGTGCAGATTACTATCATGTACCAGACAGTTAAAGTAGTATCGCTCAAATATTAACACTAATGAGCGTCTGTCAGCCGTCTCATACTCATTAATATCCATTCACGTAATGTAGTTTAGTGCTTAGAGAGAGGGAAAGAGACGCCTGTGATCCGATTCTGGAGCTCATGTGGGCTTCTATGAGCTGGTTCCGACTCAGACACCAGTGAGCCAGTCGAGCTGGTATTTCTAAAAGTTGTGCATGATCCTTTCCTGGATGTCTGCTGCGGTTCTGATCTGGTTCCGATCAAGAAACCAGCTTCACTGGCCCACTGAGCAGCTTCTGGTGGTTGGTTCTGACGGTGATCTGAGTTCCAGAAATCCGTATTTAATTTGTTATACTCCACCATGGGTCTCCAGAGCCCAGCGGACCTCCCTGTCCAGGTACCGACCGATGTGGGCTACAGAAGTCCGTTTTTTCAGCTGCACAAAATGCCCTCAGGCACGGAGATATAGGCGTTGTTTCTCTTATCTGGAAACCCTGGGACTCAATGTCCAGACAGGCTGGTGTTGGTACAGTCTTCACAAACTATAGTTTATCAAAATGAACACAATCCAAAACTAGTAAACACACACACTGACTCAATGACATGACCTCTCTACCCTAAAACTACCCACTCTCCACACTGAGCTGAGGCAGCGCCAAGCTTCTAACTCTCTTTTATAACGTCAGAGGTTAGGATTTAGAAAAAAGAGCCTTTTTAGAAGCGTTGCTGAGAAAGGTCACTTTTTACTAGAAAACTCTACTGTAATGTTTTTAAAACCAAATATCCACAAATAGCATTTCAAATAGTATTTTTTGACAGCATTTTATATGAATTAGAAGAAAAATCCAACCTGCAATTTGATCTTTAACTTAAGATGGTAAAGAACACACTTTAAAGAGTATTGGATACCAAATCCATTTTATACTTCATATAAAATAGTTTGTTTTATTGAATAATACAAAGTGTTTCTTTAGATCTCTTGAAGAAAGTCCCAGAGATGTTAAATTTAAAAGGACAATGTGTAGTTTTCACCATTAGTCTCTGGAAATATCCATCAAAATGTTGTTGAAAACGAATGAAATGATGCCCAGTTGTTGAAAAATATTGGCGGCTTCATAACATGTAACAATAAAAATCAGGTCTAAAATTCATGGGAGCGGGTCTAAGTCCCTGGGCGAAGCCATGTTTCCTTCTATGGGACCCCATGAGGACAAAATGCATTTACTAATTTGTAACAAATGGTAGGGCTGCTCAATTAATCGAATTTTAATCACGATTACGATCTGAGTTTTGAACGATTATAAAAAACAAAACAAGCCGATTATTTGCTCCTCCCGCTTGCGCTGCCCTGAGTTGCAAATGAAGCGCTCCTCCACAGTGTTGCCAACTTAGCGACTTTGACGCTATTTCTAGCAGCTTTTCAGACCCCCTTCTTGACTTTTTAATCATAAAAGTACCTAGCGAACATCTCAGAAACATCTCTGCTAACACTTAGCTACTTTCTGGATAACTGTCGTCGACATTTCCTGCAGGTTAGCTAAACACTCCGCCTGTGCTCCGGACCGTTCTTCACAACATTAGGAAAGGGAATGATGCAGTGATGCGTCGGTCGCTAAAGACAGCTCTCGGAGCCGGCTCCTTGTTGGATTAACCAGAGTGAGTGACACACACACCGCACCTGCGGTCTCCTGAGCAGCTAAAAACAGCTAAATGTGCGCGTGCAGCACGCTAAACACACGTGCAGCTTGCCCGATTGCTGTGAGACCGGGGTGGGGGGGTGGGGGGGTGCAGCTGTGGTTGGGACAATTATTACATTAACTGATGGGCCTGTAAATAAATAGTTTATAAATAAGGTAGAAATAAGTTCCTCACGCTGATAACTAATCTCTCTGAGGACACTGTGCTAGTGCACTCTCCTACAGCATCTTGACACGACTCAATAAATGTTATGTAACATTTTGTGAACATGAATTTATTTGCATTTATTTGTTATAAATGCCTCTGTATAATTCTTGCTGTCAGTATTTGCAAGATATTGGTATTTGGTTCTGTACTGGTTAGACTCAAGGTCTACAGCCCTTGGGTCATAGACTATGAGCTATAAGTATATTGGTCTTTTTATCCTGGGAATCAGGAGTTCTTTTAGTGATCATCTTGTTTCTTATTTTTGTCCTGATTGTGCCCTGAGCAGTTTTATGACTGAATAAAAACAAATAAAATCAACATAAATTGAAAAATCGTCCTAAATAATCGTGATCTCAATTTCAGTCACCATAATCGTGATTATTATTTTTGCCATAATCGAGCAGCCCTAACAAATGGTTACAAAACTTTCACCATTCATAACTATTGTTGTTTTACACATTTACCTCTTAACTCATTGCCAGTGATGAAAGGGAGTCTGGTGTGCTTGTCGTTGTGCTGAAAGTTGCGCTCCCAGGGATTTTTGACCCTAATGAGCATCCGTTGGTAAGGTCTTACTCAAACACAAAAATACCACTTGCTTGCAATGATACATGTATATACTGCCCCCTATCGCCAGGGAAATGACACATCATCACTTTAACAGCACTATCTTATTTTACATCAAGCTCAGTTTTGGTATTAGGAGTTTGATCATTCCTTTGATGACGGAATTCCATAATGTAGTTGATATTTTTCATAGAATAAAATCAATATGAACTGTGGTTAGTCAGTGCTTTCAATTGTAACACAAAGTGCATTTAGTTTTTTTTATCCTTGCCAATTTAATTAAACACATCTTAAAATTGTATTTCATTTGGTACACCCAAGCTGTAAATGTCAATTTGCAGCTTATTGTAATAAACTCAATCCCCAAAGCTTTTGTTGCACAACAAACAACATCTGTAGCAATAAAGACAAATTCTGCAAAGGAATGTTACAGTACGTTTAAGTTTTAAGCGTTGATACAGTCTGTCCTACATCGGCACAGACTAATATTAAAAAACAAAATCTAATGAGTTTGAAAGCAGCGAGCGAGCCAGTGACTCATATGTGAAGACTGAGACCTGCGATCTATTTACAGAAACACAAGCTCACAGTCAGACTCCCAAGTCAAATCAATGCACTCAACCTCATGAACCAGGGTCCTGGATCCCATCCAGTGGGAGCACTGGGAAGCTACAGGTCAAAAGGGATCTAAATGGAACGGGAAAGCGAGGCCATGCCTGGACCTCACATTCAGAAGAGGCAATCTGGGTACAAAGCCAAAAGGATACAACAATGACACGATGGAAATGTGTCAATCCAGTTGAAAAAGCTGTTCTGGTAGCATAACAAAAGGGTCTCAGTGGTTACGACAGCTTCACACTGGCACGGACACTATCAGCACTGCCAATGTGGGTCTGGCAGATGCATCAATTAATCTTTACCTCCTCCCTCTTGGGATTTAGGAAAACAAGGCATCAGCATTCTGGCATGAAAAATGGGCTTTGATTGTTTGCTTATAAAAGAAAAAATAAAATATTCTTAGGATGCCGAGGGAGCATTGTGTCTTTGGGCATCTAAAAACTATTTCTAAAAGCAGGCGCATTAGTAGAGTTTGCACATAGGCGTCATTTTAACCGGGGACACCGGGGACATGTCCCCGGCAAAATTTGTAATTGGCAGCTGTGTTCCCCCCACTTTCAAAAAAAGCCTGCTGATGAGGATTTTTGTTTTACCAGCTCAGATCTTATACCAGGGGTCGACAACCTGTTCCCATCGAAGAGCCATTATTACCCGTTTCCCACAGTAAAGAAAACACCGCAGCAGTCGCATCGTTGTGGGCGGGGCCTACCCTCAGACAGCAGAGCGCTGCTCACAACAGGTGACAGCAGCCGGTACCATGGGCGTCGCACCCGTGGGGGATTCAACACCCACACTTTTCCAGCTGTTTTGCTCACCTCCACACCAGTCTGGTTTCTTTACGTCACACTCACTCTGTTTGCCTCATCTCCTTCTTCACCTCCGCTTCTGACAGCCGATGTCGGGTTTCCAGGAGAGCAGGAGAGGGAGGGACGGAAGAGCTCGACTGAATAATTTTACATCTTGACATTAGCTGTACAAAGTCTGAGTTTGATAAAGTGAAGAACAACCATTTGCAGAGGTTTATAATAGGCGCGGCGCCAGGTTTTCATTTTTGGGTGGGCCACGGTAATTCTGGATGGACC